TTTATCTGGAACAGCCATTGATCATGATTTGGATACTTGAAAGAAACATAATATTTATTTACGGTATGCAAATTAATAGTAGATATTTCCCACCTGATTTTTAAAAAATTCATTTTGTAATTGTGATACACAATCAAAGAGAAGGAAATATTATATAAATATTTTTTAGGCCATTGTGTCTTTGTCTTTTTAACTTATGATATTACCACTGCCTGCAGGACAACCATACATGTATATTTCCAGTTATATGTAAAATATATAACTTTACTTTGTTAAATTATAATCGACTTACATGTTCAATTTTTTTTGCCTGAAAATTTTATCTATCTGGGCTTATTTTTTTCCAGAACTAGAGTCAAAGTTAGTTCAGGAAAGTCATATTATGATTGATTTCTAGCAAAAGTAAAAAATATCTGATTATGTCGAAACTTCATTTTTTTTTATTTTAATGCATTTAAGGTACAAATTGCACCAATACCTTGTATCTTTGACAATACTTTAAATTTTAACTGATATTCAAAAATTATAATTAATCTTCATAAATTAATTAATAAGCTATGAATTTTAAAAATTTTAAACTGAAATAATATTAATCTTTATTTCCTATTTTATAAATAAAATAATTTAATGAATTATAACTGCTTTATCGTTATCAATTAAAAGGGTGATATTAGTGTGTCTGTGAGCATAAATTGATTAGCATTTTTCAAATTTTCTACTAATAAAAATCTTAGATGTAATAAATTGCTATTGAAAAATTTTTCTTCTTATATTTATACAAAATAAACTACATACCTCATTCTATTTGATTGAAAACTGATTTTATTTGAAAGTGTTTACCCTAGTGATTTCTATTCATGTCAGACCTCTGGATCCAATCTGTCATAACCTGAGTAGATAACTCTATTAAAAAAATTTTTGAACCTGGACCAATATTAATCCACATATTTTATCACGCCCAGAACTCCGTTAATGTAGTTTATAGTCTTAACTCCATGCAATTTTTGATTTATTAATTAAAATACTATCCAATCCTCTTTTGAAAAATTAATATAGTGAATATGAATACCTGGAGACATTACCGACTGGTAACAGACATCCTCGTATCAGAGCTTTTTAACCATATGGTTATCTGGCCGACCCAAAAAATTTCTAACCCGCGAAAATATTTTATAATTATATTAGTCGGATATTTATATATAGCTTAATAGTTCTTTTAATTATAAATCAGCTCAATGAGATAATAAAATAAAACTTATCATAATTAAATTAGAATAAATAAAAAACAGATTAGTAACTATTACCTTTTAACCATGATCTTCCTTAAGTATTGATGTTACAGAAATTTTTTTATCTGAACTGGAACTTTCAATAATATATTCTTTTTTACTTGATAACTATGAATTTTTATCCATATTGCAATATGTTTGGGTTTTTAAGTGCCTCAAGGTACAACTATAAGTATATCTTTTATAATAAACCATGATATCAATACTGATAAATATCCCGAAAATAAAAACTTGAATCTGGTTTTAGTTGGGTCAGGTTTCGCAGACTTTTATTTGGAATATCAGAAAAAAACGGATTTATTAAATTCAAGCATAGTATTGATAACCATAGTTGGGTAATTACCAGGGATCCAAACCGAAACGAATATCGGTTCGGATAAAAATAACGATTCAGGTTTGGTTCGCAAAAAATAAAAATATCGGTTCGGTTCAAACCTCTAAAAACCGGTTTAAACACTTTCGTATTCAAACCAGATTCGAATTATGTATAAGGATTTTTTTTATTTCATAATTATAATAAAAACACATACATAAAAACCTTCATTTTTATTAATTGCACATTATAAAATAATATTTATTTATAAATATAACAAACAAATATCAATGATTAATTTTAATATGAACAATATTTAACTTTATTTACTTAAAATTTTTTTATTAAGCTGCACAATTAATATATTTTCAAAATTCGTCTCACTCAAATTACATCTATAAGGAGATATATAAATTTAATTGTTGAAAAACATCTTTTCACACTAACTTGGGTAGCCAGAGTAACGTTTTAAATTAACTCCCGTTTTAAATAGATTCTAATTTAGTGATATTGACATTTATGATTGACATGTTAAGATTTAACATTTTTTTAGTGATATTGGCATTTATGATTGAATTGGAAGTTCATTTAAATCAGATTTTTCAATTAATGAAGAGTGTATCAAGTACAATAGTAAATAATATACCTTTCTAATATCTTAATTTAATCAATTTTAGATAAAGTATATGAAAACATAACCAATTGCTGGCCTACAAAGTAATTGTATATTATTATTGAAAATATTGTTTATATATTTTTGATAGCATTATAACAATGATGAACAAAACATTATCAATAATTTATAAACTGGCATAAAAACCTTATTATTATACCAATACTCACCTTTGCAAAGTAAATGATTGCAAATTTTTCTAATAATAAATTTCAGCAATTTTAAATTATATATTTATATTGAGTACAATCAATTAAATTTTTGGATATGATATTGGGCCTGATAATTTTTCATTCCAATTAAGTTTATTTAAATCTTTGCTAACTTAAAAAAATATTGTAAATTTTTACTATATAATAAATTTCAGTATTGCAAACAAAATGATTGCCTAAATACACTGAAATATTTTTTGTTTACATTGAATAATATATTCTTTATCGTAATTAAGTTTATTTAAATCTTTGCTAGCTTAAAAAAATATTGCAAATTTTTTCTATATGATAAATTTCAGTATTATTGCCTAAATACACTGAAATATTCTTTATTTTCATTGAATACTATAAATTAAATTTTTGGATATGGACTTGGGCCATTTATTATATATATATTTTTTAATTGACAAAGTGGGCCTGTTTATTGAGAAAAGTATAAATATATTATTATTTAATTATGCATATTTTTTAGAATGAATTGACAGTAGAGACTGTAATTTCCAAGAAAGATGATGCAAATCTATTTCTTCCAATCAATAGAAATTGGAAAATTTATCATTCTGAATGCTTTCATTTTGCGATCAAGAAAAGATATCCAAAATATGATAATGGTGTGATGGGAAATAATTTTTCTACCGAGCTGATTATTGGTGATGGAAATTGTCTCTTCTGGTATATATATATATATATACAATAAATTATTGTTTATCATTATTATAGATGTATAAGCAAAGAAATTTGTGATGACGAATGCCACTATGATTTTCTGAGATAGTAATGCATTCTTTTTATGAGAAGCAAGTATATTGTTGAGCAGATGCAGGAGTTTTTGGGAGAACCTGTTGACTTATATTTGGAGAGAAGGCATGGCCCAAAATGCAACTTATGGAACAGAAATGGAATAGTTGCAATGACAACTATGTTTCAGAGAAATATTATAATCCATACTATTTATAAATGGGCATATACGCCAATTAAAAAATTTGATTTGAATATATATTTAAGAAATTATTGCGAGCATTTTGACAGCATAATAAATTTTAATTAATCTTATTTAATCGCTAATTTATCTTATTTATATCGCATATCTTATTTATATCGCTTATCTTTATAATGCATGTCTTATTTATGTCGAATATCGTTATAACGCATGTCTTATTTATATCTTTTCTAATCTTTACATATGCAAATAAACTTTATATACAATTTAAATAAAGTATTTAAATTATTTAAAAAATGTTATTAACTTACATATTATATCTAATCCTGTTTTATCTCAGTCACATCTCTATATTAAGCTTTGACACTTTTGAACTAAATTTTAAATTAATAATAAAACTTTAAGAGTTAATATAAAATACAAAATTTTATAAAATGAATTAAGCAAAATTGCCTTAAATATCAATGTAAGAATAGAAAATATTATATTTAATCGTCAGTCATAAATGTCAATTTCACTAAAAAATAATATTTAATCTTATGTCAGTCATAAATGCTAATATCACTAAATTAGAATTTATTTAAAACAGGGGTTTATTTAAATATCTATAACAATAGAAAATATAATACTTAATCTTTACACGTCAGTCATAAATGTCAGTATCACTAAAAATATCATATTTTATAAAAAGTCAGTCATAAATGTCAATATCACTAAATTAGAATTTATTTAAAACAGGGGTTCATTTAAAATGTTACAATAATTTATGAGTTTAAAATATTTAAAAAATGGCAATATACTAAAGTTTATAAAAATTATGACTGACACTTATCAATCAAATGTGACTAATAATAATTTTTAAAACAATTTGAATATAATTAAAATTTTTGCAATATACTAGCAATAACTTACACATTATTTTACAAGCATAAAATTATGAGACTCGAACCGGTTCAGAGGCATTTTAGCGGTTCGGTTTGGTTCGGCTAGAATTTTTTTAGCGGTTTAGGTTCGGTAAAAAATACCGGTTTTTAGTGGTTTAATAGTTCGATTCAGGTTTGGTTTGGATCCCTGGTAATTACTAAATATTTAGCCAATTTTTAGCCGTCTAAACCAAGTTATTAGCCGAAAGCTATCATTTTGGTATCGTTTTTTTCAAAAGATAGCAGCTCATTTGGAAGAAACTAATATAAATTAAAAGGCCTTAATGTTAACGAATTTTCTCCGACAGTCGCCTGAAGATTGAGCTGAATTAGCTTACATTTTAGCCATTACCCAACTATAAAGACAACATGCTAGATTCAAAATTATGTTAAAATTTTTAATGTTTTAAACTTTTAGTTTAATAATAATAAATTTTTTTAGCAAACATAAAAAAAATTCTTTGTAAATTTTTTTTAATATTTTCTTCAGAGAAATAAATACTTTAAGCTTTCTTTACAGGTAATATCTTATCATTATAATACTAAATTGCATAAATATTTTAAAATTTAATAGGAAAAGGGTATATTAAATATTGATATAAAAATTATAGCTATAAAATAATGTCAAAAATTTTTTTAACTTTGTGTAACAGTGTTGGAATTGGATATTTTTTAAAATTTATAAATTAAAATTCTAAATAATTGATATTTTTTTTAAAAGCACCAAATAAATTAAATTCTTATTCCTTCATTATTTTTTTTAAAAAAGAACTTGGCATACTAAATTCAAAATTCGGCAATGGAAATATCTAGACATCGCTGATTCCATTTGGGTAAATTTTTTGCTTATAACAGTTCAAATTGTCATTAATTTTATCGATATTCTTAGAGATTTGCAGGCATTCTGTTTCGTTAGCGTTTCTGTCGTTAGCATTTAGGTGAGAGGTAATGAAATTTATTCTGGCAGTATTACAGGATTTGCATAAAATCCAGTCATCTAACGGGTAACACGAGGATGTTTTCCCACAAATTTCATTTTCCGACGATGTTAGAGGCATGCTACAATCCTATTTATGAAAATGAGTGTTTATTAAACCATATTGATAATTAGTATATTTTATAATTAATGCAGTTAAAATATTTTGCGAAAAATAATGCAATTATAAATTAGTATGCTGTAAAATACATTGTCTAAATTTAATATTCGTAGAAATGTTATCGTATTTAAATAAATATATAGATATTTTGTTAGGTTAATATATAATCAATTTTTATATTCTCTTATGTTTTTTAAATAAATTTTCCTTGATTTATCGGGGAAGCACTATTAAAGGGGTTTCCCCCCATAAATTTTATTGGAAGTCTTTAGGTCTACTATTGTAGGCCTTTGGCTATATTATATTTTATAAAACTAATTTTGTGTGTTCACTTTTTTTGTAAATTTTTTGAATTAGGGTGAGTATTTTAAAAAAAATTAACTTTTACTAATTTTTCTTTCAGATTCTTGTTTATAATTATATATTATATACATTTTTGGGAGAGAAGGGGGTGGTGGGGGTGTGGGGGGTTATTAGCTTAAAGCAATATTTACAAAACAATTCTATACAAAATTATTATTTAGGGGATTGCAAGTATGACTGGCTTATACCAATATAATACTATTGTATTATGATATTATTGGTTTAAACAATATTTTCTCTATATTGAATGGTTATTGGTTTATATTAGCGCCAATATATTTTATGGTAAAAATAAAAATGTATCACTCAGTAAATTAATAAATTTAATATATACAAGAAAATATTATTAGCTTTATCCAAGAAATAACCAAAAATTACGTAAGTAAGCCTAAAACTATAAGATATTTGTATTAATCAATTTTTGAAAATTGGTAATGCTTATAAACCAATATTTATGATTGATTTATCATCTATAAATATTGGCCTTGAGTTGTATAAGTTTTAAAAACCAATACAAGGAAATATCGGTATTGTTATCAACCCTAATGACAAGCCCCCCCCCCCGTACGCCAATGATATCCGACTTTCAGGATATACGAATATTTTTTGTAAAAATTTCATTAAACTTGGCATTTATAACATTCGACATGAAAGCTCTTATCCATGGCGATTATCCTGATTGTTTCGCTTTCTCCATTATTAGGCACAATTAAATAGTTGCAAATTGCGCATCTAGGTGCAAATTTTCTGATATATGTTATTTAATAAATAAAATTATTCTTAAAAAGTAATTTAAAATGGAAACAAAATTAGTTTCCATTTTTCTAGAATCGAATCAAAACTATGACATTTGGCAAAGCCAAAAAAGATTGTATTACGATTTGGATAGTGAGTGACCGAAAATCAAGTAAAATTTATTCCATCTAAAATTAGAATCATCACACATAGATAATCGCAATAATATCTATCCATTTTTAAAACTGCCTGAGCTTATTTAAATGTTGAGTAGAGAAATTATTCAAGTCAAATTTATTTAAGCATTTTTGGTATGGAGGATGTATTATTATATTAAAAATAAAATTGTTAAATTTTACTCGTGGAAATCGGTGATACAATAGACTTGATTACTAGCATCGAGGGTAAATGGTATTCCATCTAAACATAATCCGCAAACGACACACACAAAGCAACCAGGATGATAAGGTTTACCGGTCGCTCTTAGAATCTAAAAGGTTATATAAATGGGATACAATAAGAATATCCTAATTACTCGATTTGTAATAGGCTTAGAGCACGTAGAGCATTTTTCTAAAGTTTTCTATATAAAAAAAAATATATATATATAAACTTTTCTATATTGATTATTAACATACAATGGTATTTAAAATATATCTTATTTACCAAAATAATATTTTTAAAAAAATTGCTCATTCCAAATCACACCTTATTTTTTTACAACAAATATATCAAAGACCAGAAGAGGTCAAATTTTTATGCCCAGAACGGATTTCTAAAATTTAGTTCATTTTAAGTAATTTGGGCTGTATTTTGCGAATTGTTTTATTAGAGATCCATTATATGATTTTCTAACTAGTTCGTTTATAAATAAAATTATTAGATTTTGTAAAAAAAAATATATTTTAATGCCATAATAAGTAATTTATATAAAGCCATATTTTTAAATACAAATATGAAAATGAATAAAATTTTGGATAATTCCTATAATTAGAAAGATTCGCTATTGGGTAATTTGTAGTTGTTAGTAATTAATAGTGTTGTCAAAGATCATTAAGGTAACTCACAATTTATTAAATGTAACTAGTTACAGTTATATTTCAAAAGCAAAAGTTCAGGTTACCAGAGCATCGCCAGTCCGCCCTTGATTACTTATTTACATAGGCATAATCAGGGTTTTGCTAAGCATCATGTCGCTCCCCCCCCCCCATCTTAATGAAGCTCTTTAAGATCACCTATTGCAGACCTTTGGTTACGTCATTTTTTAAATAATGGTTTTGCTTTTTCACTCTTTTTAAATATATAAAAATGCCTTTTTCTAAAAATTTTATTATTGTCATTATTAGTGTTGTTAATTCGTTGGTTGTATAAAACCAGACCCGGGGTTTAGGTCTAAAAATCTAAACCAGCTCTGAGCACGAACCCGATCACAGCAGCTCTGAGCACGAACCCCGAGCACAAACCCGAGGTTTAGTAGAAAATCATTTATCAAAAGTAAAGAAGCAGCAAAACGCAATGGCGAAGCAGCAAAACGCAATGGCGCTATTGCAAGCCTTTCAGCTTCGGGTTAAAAAATATTAATCGGGTCGACCTAGGGCTAAAAATGAGTTATTATGTTGGTTAGCCGAGTGAGTATTTCCAGCCATATATGACTTTTGCAACGATTCGAAAAATTACTTTTTTTTCTAAATAAAGGATAAATTAGAATTTTTCTGGGATGGACAAGGACAATTAGTATTAAATTTAACTTTATTCAAAAATTAAAATGCTTTTTATTTATATTTTTAAATTTAAATATTTTCGAACTCAGGTTTAAAAAGAAGATGTTAGTGCCTAGATAGATCATGCTTAAAAATCTTCTTTCAAGATATTTTGTAAAACTCTTAGAACAGATTCCAAATTTTTAGCGATTTAGAACCTATCTCTTAACATTTATTTTAATATATTTAATTTTTTTAAAATATAAAAATAAACAAAAATAGTGAATTTGATTTATTTTTGTTATATATGTATGGCGCTACATATATATAATAATAATTGAATAAAATTATTATATTCGATTTATTTCATTTTTAAAATCTGTGCTCAAAAAAAGCTTTAGCATTTAATTGGGTCGTTTACAAGTAAATAAACAACACTAGTCATATTAACTTTTGCTTATTTTTCTTTCAAATTATCTTTTAGTATTTTTAAACGGTTATTTTTAAGAAAGCCTAACAGTAAGCAAGCCTCAAGATTTCGTTAGCAGATGTTCAAACCTTTCTGCTGCCTGTATTTATTTTTAAAAAATGATTTAGCTGATAAAACTTTATTTTTTTAGAAAAAACTTCACCGGCTAAAAGCATTGAAAGAAACAATTAATTAATAATAACCAAGGTAGCAAAAAATGCTATTAATTATGATAAATTTATATATTACTAAGTGCGTGCACTAAGCTAAGGGTAAAGACCAATAAATAATATTAATAAATGCGTTTACCTAATGAATCACCATGTAATTTTTTATTAACCCTGTAAAAAAGATTTAACATAAAATTTCAAAAAATAAAAATAATTTTTATCAAATCGCAAATGTGCTAGTTTAAAATAAAATACCCATATAAAATTATTAGTGCTATAAACGTTACTTCAAAAAAGAAACGCTTTACTCGTTAAACTCGTTAATTAAAAAATAAAATATTATATACAAAAAAAAGAAGTTTTTCTCCCTATATATATATATATATATAAATTATGCAAAAAATAATATAAATCTTTATATAATAATTTTTTAGGATATAATTTATAAATAAAATACTATAAAAATAATACATTATAAGATAAGATATTTTTGTAATAACTTCTTATTTATTTTTAACAATTGATTTTTAATATTTTGATCAGATAAACAGGATTACTTAATGCTCAACAAAGCTTTCGCTGTGCTAAACACCCATTCAAAGGCGCAGAGGATGGGAGGGTTGTATTATATTGGATAAATAAAAATATTAATTGAAGGAATTCATAAAAAATTAAAGAATAATATTTATTTTGAAAAAAGCTAAGTTCATAAAGAATCTTTATTCAGATCCTCATTCAATTTTTTTATTATCTTTATTAGAAAATAATCTGTATGTGTGTTGCAAATGCTTTTGCCAGTCAGATATTTCGACGTTTTCGTTAGTCAATTCATTGTTAGCGAGTATCTTCCACTTTTCTCAAACAGAAAATAAGTTCAAGCTTCCTTCCTTTGCTGACATCTAGTTTTACTAGGATAAATCTGCTGATAATATATATTCAATTGATATAAAATATTATCAAAATATGAATTGTGGACAATACTTCAACTGTATACCTTTTATCTTTGTCTTGCAGAATTGCATTAATAAGTTACAAAATGAAATTATTTAAAGCCATTTTTAAATATTATAATAGTTATCGTGGGAGTGAGATTTCCCAAATGCATTTTTTCCTCTCTCTCTCTAAAATCGAAAGAGCTGTAGGAACAGTTTCCATAACCTATAAAATCTTATATATAGCTGTAATATTCATCTATGAACGACTTGTCATTATCTGAAAATCTCTGTAATTTGGATTTATCACAAGATTTGTCAAATTTGTGGCCATTTTCCTTAATAAGAAATAAGATTATTAATTTCACGGAGTTATAGAAAGAGTTTAATCTTATTATAACCAGTTTAATCAGATATCCCATTTCTTCCTTATAAATGGCAGCACAATTTGGAGGATGCCCATGTTTATTCTACAATGAGGCTAAAATATTTGAGTTGTGACACAATTTACACTTATAAAGTTTAAACTTTGTAACCTTAGTTTTCTTTATTGATGTAAAAATGTTTCATATTGGAGTCAAGGCTTTAATCGTCTTCAATTGAAGAAAATGAAGAATTAAATTAAAAATTTACATACATTGATTGAATAAATATTTATTAATTAGATTAACAATCTTGACTAAAAATTTAACAACGAAAATTTAAAATAAAAATGAAGGAATTCGGTGGTTGATGTGAATTAAAAACAATTTAAAAAATTAAATAAAAGTAATTTTATAACAAAAAAATGTTTTTTCCATATTTTTTAAGAAAAATTTGAAGTAACGAATAACGTTTTGCACCGTTACTCAAAAAAACACGTTACCGTTACTCAAAAATAGAAACGAACTGTTACTCGTTACCTCTAGAAGAAGGTAACAAATGGCGTTCCTTTTCTTCAAAAAAGGTAACGCCGTTATTTTTTAGACCTTTTTTGAGGTTAGTTACATCACTAAAAATGATATAAATTTAAGTAAACATATTGTCAACAAAATCTATTATGGATAAATTTTATTCTTATAGATAGCTTATAAATTTCACTGCTAATATACTTGGTTATCTTCTATTGCTGTTTATTAACTGAACTGAATTTATTTCTTTATACCGGTAAAAAAGGGTTCATGTTTATTCGAATTCCCCAAAATGCCTTGAATTTGAGTTTGGGGCCTGAAATCGGTCCCGCCCTTTTTATTAACTAAGTGTTATTATGCAAGTTATTTACTTGTATACATGGATTTTTTTAAAAGGAAAGGTTATAGGACTTGTTAATAAGCTTATTGAGGGAACCCAACTCATTTAATATCTCGATTTTATAGAAGACAAAGGTTATAAATTAAATAAATTCTAATAATTATATTAAAGAATCGTTAAATATTTTAGATTGTTCATTTAATTTTTTAAAACAAATCAAAATAATTTGTTAAGAAAGTTTTAAAGATAATGGTAATGATATTATAATAATATAGCCTATAAATCAACTTAATTGTTATTTTATTTAAGGTTTTTAGAAATTCATTCTCAAAATTATAGGTTTTTTTAAATTAAATCTTTTTCAAAAAAAGTTTGTAAATATTATTCTGAGTCTATCTAAATTTTAAAAGCAAAATGCTATAGAATTATTGCCCAATATATCTAAGATAAAATTGACCCAAATTATAACAATAAATATTAATTAGTAATTATGATAAAGAGTGGAGAGTAGTGTTGCGTAATCGGCTAAAAACTACGCCTAAGCCTAATTAGGCTAAGCCTTAAAATCGGCTAAAGCTAATTAGGCTAAGCCTAAAAATTGGCTAAAATAAATAAGTCAAAAATTCTGCATCGATGCCTAGCATTAATTATTATTTATTTATTTTAGTAAAACAATTTATTTTAATTATATTTAAATGTAAATATTTTATTATTATCAACAAATAAACATGATTATGATTTAATATTTTTTATTTATATTGTTTTATTTTGAAATGAAAATAAAAAAAGTAATATGCTGCTATTGTAAAAATGTATTCTTTTTAAATATAATTTATTAGTGATTTTCACAAATTTCTTTGTAAATACATCTTTTATTGAGGAATTATATTGTAAATTTTATTAGATAAAAAACAATCTTTTAGGTGAAATCTTTTATAATTTTTTTTAATCTATTTTTTTATTAAATGAGGTGTTTTTTTTAAAATAATTTTTTAAAAATATTTAAATTAAACTTTTTTGATGTTATTTTATATGATCTTTTTAAGGATAATATTTTAATGTGAATTGTCATAATCGTTATT